ACCCTATTTATTATTTAACTGTTAGTGCATAAGAATTGAAATGGTGAATAATTGTATTATTGTCATGAGATGATCATTTTCTTCAAAATAACAAAATATGAGAAACTTATGGCAATGAATTTTAGAAATTTCTTTAAAAATATTATGGCCTATTTAATATATTTTAAGACATAGTTCTGATCTAAATAATCTGTATCATGAGGCTTAGTATTTAACAAGTCAAAATTATACCAAAAGTGGTGGCTGGTTTTTTATTTTTTCCTGATGAATTAGAACTATTACCACAAACAAGATAATTTGCAAATAAAAGTTGAAATCCAAAATTTGTAAATTTTCCTTCCTAAATCAAATAATGCCATTCCTATATCACTGTATTTTAATTAGCAGAGGTTTTTGGAAGTGGCATGGTACATGCTCATACGATGACTCAAAATGTAACTTGGCCTGCAGTTTTCTTTCGGGGAACAGAACACTCTAATTCAAATACATTATTAAAAAGCAGATAACATGTGCACTTTCTGAAATGTCTGTGACTTCACTCTTTTGATTTTATGTAATTATAAGAGAATGCTCATATGTATTTACTTTTCGATTGGCACAGCATTTTAAAACTGAGTGTCTTCAGATAAAGTGCGTATTTTCTCTTGGTTCATAAAGAATATCACCGGTTTATGTGCTCAAAACTTTAGTGAATGTTTTATAATGCGGTCACAGTGCAGTTTATAGCTTGAGATAAGAATTTCTATGAAATACCCTATGTATATAGAGAAAAAAATATATTAGTTTGGGTTTTGAGATTAATAATTGGTAACTAGATCCTGTGCCATTTCACTGTGTTACCTTGTAACTTCTATCAACTCTCAAGCAAAACTTTGAACTCAGTATTTTCCCAAACTTTGCAGCTCAAAGTAAATACTTTTCATTTAAACTAATTTCAGTCAACATAATAAAATAGGAAAACATCACCCACTTAAAAACAGCTTAAATTGCATGTGCTTTGTCACTATAAACAAACAAGGTAAACATTGACATAACTTCAAATTATTCTTGGGTTGAAAAAAATCTGCAGTTCAAAATAAAATTCCGCCTTTGGTCAACATTTTGGATGCAATTCAAAGTTTCTCATAAAATAAACATATTTTAAAGAGTGCTTTGAATTTCAGTGTGTAATTTCTAGCCAACAGAAATTACAGTGGTATCTTTAAGGTTTATTATATGTCAGATCAATAGCCATTATGCAGGGCTAACAACCTTCGAAAAGGCAATACCTTCCCTCTGCTTAACCCTTACTACTATGACATGTAAGAAGAAGAAAAAAACTTCCTATAGGTGTCCCTTGGGGAAATCCTCTCGCAAAATGAAACTTTGTTTATTTGCTTACTAATAAAAGTATTCTTTTCTGATAAAATGGGAAATAAGCTGAATTTTTGGCCAAGAAAGCAAAATGTTCATTAAGGTAATCTTCATGAGAATTTTTCAATAAAAGGGGGAATAGTTTTGCATTCTGCAAAATAACAAATTATTTTGAAGCATGAGCTTAAAATGAAAATGCCCCATCACAACAGATTGTAAATTTTTTTCTGATGCTTTTAAAAGTGCCTCGATCATTTCTGTGACTACAATGTTAAAGTTAAGTATTTGCTATTTTATTTAAACATTTTTGAAAAATGAACATTCTGGGGCTTTGCAGCATTATTAAGAAAAGCTGTCCATACTTTACCATGTTGTTACATGTGTTTATCTGCTGATTATAAAATGTGTTAAACAGTATTTTAAAAACAACAAAAAAAATGCAGAGCTGCGCTTTGATTAAGTCAGTGAACAAAACATATGCTGTTGGTTCTGTTCTATGAAATTCATATATGATCAATAAAATCTTTTAAAAGAGCAACTTTGGCTTTAAGGCTTGTACTGCCGACCATGTTTCTCGTCCCAGCTAACTCAGGGCTCACACTGTTAACTTAGGCAAACAAAACCACTTTCTGGCTATGATAGTAATGTCTTTTTAATATTTTTTTATCCTCTTTCTAAAATTCCTTTAGGTTGGAAGCTGTGTATTGCGGTTGTTACCCACTCTGTCCCAGAGATTTGGTTTATCCCGAAATATTTCCAGGTAGCTTCTTTAATGTACCTTCATCTTTGCTGAGATTTAATACATGCTTCATGCTAAATTAGAAAGTTTGGTGAAAATAAACTTAGGCAGAAGCAATTGTTTATTTGGCAAGTCAACATGTTAGTGTTAAGGAAAATTTTATGTGTTTTAATACATTAGAGTAAGCTTATATTTGCCATCTGTTCTTTTAAGATAACAAAAAAGCAAGTTTTCAAATAGCATTCTTCATTGTTAGCACACACATCCCATAATGATGGATTTTTATAAGCAGGTCAGTGTTGCTGCAATTGCTTACAGATTTTTTTTAATGATATACACAGAGAAAAATCAAGGACTGGAAGTCACACCAAATTATTTAAACAATTGACTAGTTAATAATATGCAACTGTTGTTACAGGGTACATACGGCTATAGTACCAGTTCTTTGAAAAAAATTCTCATCACTAAATATATCACATATGCATTGTGTTACATTAGAATAATGTATTTTAATCACCCAAAGGAGATGTCTAAACAGCACAACTACACAGTCTTATTTAGCATTAAACATCCTTGTGAGCTGAGGTAACCTTATAAAATCATGCTTAAATAATGTAAAACACGAGGCAGCACAGAGCAATATGCATTTTTAATTAGTAAAGTGACTAATATCGAGTGTGTGCTTTGAGGTTTTTGTTTCATTAAAAATGTATCTGTTTTTCCTGCAGCTGAATATCTGTATTCTACACCTGAACAGCTTTCAAAAAGGCTCCAGAATTTCTGCAAGAGACCAGATATTGTAAGAAAACATCTTTATAAGGTAGATATTGAGGAGAGATTTACGTGGTATAAATGCCATATTGAAGTACAAAGAAAAATCTTTTAAAAAAAACATTTAATTAACATACTAATGTTTAAAGGAAACATGCTAGGGAGGGATATTAGTTGTTACACTAACAAGGATTAATTAAGCTGGATGCCAGTTGTATTAACCTAGGTCTTATGAAATACGTGCACTTAATGCAGGGTACATGCTTTTTTTTTAATTTATTGTTTTCTAAGATGACTGTCCTTTACATTTAGCCCCAAGAGGCTTATAAAAATGAACCTGGATTAATGTAACTCATTAGTTTAAAAGGAAGTAAAGAAAAGATTCCACAATTATACTAATGAGGATAAGCCTTTCTTCCCATCATAATGAAATCTTCAGGCCTCAAAAATTCAGGTGAATGACATTTGTGAAGTTTGGTGTTCATTTTTTAACTACTTTGAAGATGATTTCCAAGAACCGAATGTTTCCCTTGTCCAGTTTAATAAAATGACCCAAAAATCCTCAGTTTGTGCAGAATGACACTGCCAGGCTCCTCTCTGAATGGCAAAGGCAAAGGGAGAATAGTCTTAAACAGCATCATCATGAAGTCCCGACTCAGGATCTTTTTCCCCTTGTTTGAATCAAGAATTTTACATTGTTGAAATCACAACACAGAGGCCCTGCTTAAAGTCTAAGTAATTGAACTAGGATAAATCTGCTTTACGACTTTGGAAGGTGGCTCTAGGCCATGAGTAATATACCTTTTTATATTCTTTGAATGTAGCATCTTCATTTTACATAAATTCAGTATAGTTTACAATCTAGCAGTTTTATAATCCAGTATATTTTAATTTTCCTATGTTAATGTATAACCTTCCTACATGAAATACAGTTTGCTGCCTTTTTTTCTCTCCTTTCCCTTTTCATGGCCTAAAATACATATTTACATAGTGATACATCAAAACAGGACTTTGTTTCTGCAGGAAACAGTTAAACTTCAAGAAAAAGGGAGAGAACCAAAAATGCAATTTAACACCCAATTTCAAGCTCATTATCTTTCATTGTCTATTAACTTGGCAATGGTTCAGAAGGTAGCTCATAATAGTTTAAAATGCTGACTGAACAGTTCCAGGCTCCAGTATTGCTCCTTGAGTCAATATGATTGTACCGTATACAGGGGAAGCTTCACAGACAAAACAGCCTCCCAGGATTTCCATCCACATTCCCTAATTTTGGAAGTTCAGTAATGGTCTGCCTTATATAAAATGTTACTCCAGTCATTTTCCACGTGACAGGCTATCGAAATGGGCAAATTCTGGAAATGGAAGAAATAGAATCCTGAGTATTTATGCAAATGGATTCCTTTTCTATATATGACACAGAGCTCTTTTCAGTGAGCTCACCATCAACTCACTAATTTTGTTCTTCCCTCCTGGTGAATTTTTGGTGTAGGTTTGTTTGTTTTTCAGTTTTATTGAGATATAAATGACAGCACGGTGTCAGTTTACAACCCACCACATAATGACTTGACTTCCACATCTTGGAGAATGGTCACCCCCATCGGTTTAATTACCATCTGTCATCTCACAGAGACACACACAAAAAAAAGAAAGAAAATGTTTTCTCCTTGAAGTATTTATAATGATATTTCCACCATCAAAATGTATCAGTTTTTAACTTTGCTTCAGGTTAGGCCTCATTATCTCTGTTAGTCTTCATGGACAAATTTTTAACCATTTCAGAAGTTACTGCAACAAGTTGCCTTGAGTTACAAAAGAAAACAGACCTCCAGGGGCACCTGGATGGCTCAGTTGGTTAAGCGATTGCCTTCAGCTCAGGTCATGATCCTGGAGTCCCGGGATCGAGTCCCAGGATTGAGTCGTGCAGGGAGTCTGCTTCTCCCTCTGACTCTCCCCCCTCTCATGTGCTCTCTCTCTCTCTCTCTCAAATAAATAAATAAAATCTTAAAAAAACAAACAAAAAAAAAAGAAAACAGACCTCTGGTTGAAATATTTTAATACAGCTACCCCATAACATGGCCTCAATTATTTATTTTACAAACATCTTCTAGAAAAACTCTGAAACAATGTCAGTCAGCTTAGTGATAATGCTGTCACTTAAATCAAATTGTTTCTCATACAGCTTAAAGATAACTTATGCCTTAAATGTTATTTCCTGTTAATGCTTTTTACATATGTTCCTGGTCTGTACATCCTAAAGTGCTCCATCTCAAAATTTTATAAATTAGAATTGTATGGGTCAGCATTTATAAGAGTTCATATGTATGATTCTTTTTTATGTATTTTCTACTGTGGATTTTTTTCTTATAAATCTGTTACACACGTTCAGATGTGTCCTCATGTGTAAATCCTGATGATATTTTATCTAAAGATCAGTCTTCAGATTAATAAATTAGTCCAACAATTATAAGTAATCAAGCTTTAGGATGCATTTGTCAGAGGAACTGGTAAAAACCACAGACAGAAAGGACCACAGATTTAGTTTGGTTATTGTAATAGGATTTAGAGCCAAGACAGAAAAAACTTTATAATTAAGATCTAATAAACTATGATGCTTTTCCATCTTATGTTTTATAAATATACAGATTTTCAGGTAACGTTTGCCTTCACTAAATGCAAGAGAATTATTCCCCCACAAAGCAGTATTTTCCTTACTTTTCTTATGCAATGGAAGAGTCTTTTGTGTGTACTGTTAACGAGAATGTTGGGGGTTTTTTTTAGACTTATTCCATTGGACAGTGCTGTTTTGCTTTTAAAAAACATATGCTTCTAAGATCTAAAAGGATAGAATGTCACCGAATTCTTTAATTTGCTCCTTTTACATTTTTACACCTTACTCTCTTTTTTTGTCAAAAGTTTACATTTTAAAATCATCTCAAGTGCTTTTCACATAGGGTTCACTTTAGGATAGGATTTTTCATATGGATTCACACTTAGAAATTTAATGACTAGAATAAGGCTACTAACACTTGGCTTTCTTCTCACATGAGACATTATACTTTCAATATGAGTGAGAGTTTGGGGGCTATAACTTGAAGCAGGATTTGAAACAGAATGCTAGTAACTGAAAAGCAGAAACAGAATTGGATACTTTTTTTTTTCTTAAAGTGACTCTTTCTACTACAGAACACTGTTGCCCATGACTTCTCACCTGAAGTGATTTCAGATTTGAAATGTTTAAATTCCTCACATGCATGCAAGTATGTTCTCCCTCCCTCTTTCCCTCTCTCTCTATTTCTCTCTCTCACACACAGATACACACACAGACACACACACACTTTTCTTAAGATCTTTCTTAAGAGAAATCCAAAGCATGCAGAAATTAAATGTTTCTTAATCATTTTAAAAATCTAAAACCATTTTCCTAATTTAAAAAATCTGAACATTTCTTTAAAAAGTTTACATCTAAGTTTAGTCATTGACTGCAGCTTTCTCGGACTTTCGGGACACCTCCTTTTCCGAGTAGGTCAGACACATTGGCCACATACTTGTCACACAGATTAAAAATAGGTTTCATTTCATCCACGACAGGGAGCTTTTTGTGACTCCCAAACCTAACTTGAACACAAGATTCTAGAAGTAACCATAAAATAATTAGCCAAGGATTGACTTCTTACATTAACAATTATCTTCCCTTTTCAACCCAAATAAGTCTAATACCACGAAGTTGTATTTTTGCCTCATTTTTACTATGTGAATTTACTTACTGAAAATTCCCAACAACTTTTTGAGATCAGTACCTCGTGTTTTTACAAATTTCTCATCATATTTTTAAAATGCCTTAGAAAAAAAAATTATGGACATTACCTTGTTACCAGACTGAAAAGGGCACAGGGCACAAATGGGGCACTTGTGTAACGTAAATACCGCCCAGACGAACGGGACAGATCTTCATTCCCATCCTATTTCTCATTTCCTTTTATTTACAAATTGTGCGATATTTTGTGTGCAAAAAGAGATGCATTCTCTCTTGTGCTTTCTGAGATTGACCTGTAGTTCCTTAAAATTTTTCAACTGATAGCTGCTGACTTTTATTCTGTTCTCCTCTTCAAGTTCTGCAACGTTCTAGAAACCTCTATGACCTGCTCTTAATTGGAGGAGAGAAGAATTTTCAGATTTCTGCCTCAAAATGATTCCAAACAATGATTAAGCTTACAGTTCAGAATCAGTGCCCAGAAAGCCATTTGTGGTTGTCTTAATTATATCAGGCTCTATCTCCCCAAACCACAGCCACGCCACTTTAAGTTTCCTTCAAGACACCGGTCACTTTATGTCCCCTTTTAACTTAAGCTTATACTCTGGATGTCAATACGGGGTTGCTCACTTGTATTAACACTCCTCCAAAGTCATTACTTTGTTCCTTAAAAATGAAAACTTAAAAGCTGGTGACATTTTTAGAACTTCTAAAAATCTCTCAACTGCCCCAGCACAATTTCAGGCAACTTCTCAGTCTCGCTCCTTCTCTCCCTCCTCCCTGGTCTTCTCCCTCTGTCTTTCTTCACTTCCTTCCTTGATTTTATTTGGCTTGATTTTCCTTTGATTTGTCTAAGCAAAATAAAAGCAAAAAACCTTCGGCACAATAAACTTTGGGGGATCAAGATCAGTTAGAGGTTTTGTCGTCTCGTCCTTCTCTGCTACTCATTTGCAGCCTAGCTCCAGGTGAATCTCTGTGTGATTCATCTGTTAACCTGGAGGAATTTTTTTTTTCCCTAAATTCTTAATAGCATTTTTCCCCCCTGAAGTACTGCTATAATGAAATAATAAATATAAACCTGTTTGTAAACTCAAAGGGCTTTACACATTTCGCAATAGTAATGGCATTTCTCCTGTGCCTTAACCACTTAAAAGTGAAATTCACATCAGCAAATGCATGCATTAAGAGTGTTGTGTATCTTGTGTTTATAAAAGTTGAAAGTTGGATGATTAACTTTGAATAGCCGTCATCCATAACAAAAACCAGGAAATATGTATGCAGCGGAATGCACCCATTTACGAAAAATCCGGAGCTTTCCCCTATGGTTGAAAAGACAGTTCCACTTTAAACCAATCAGAAACTGGGATTTCCTGAGTTGATGAAACTCAAGAACCATTTACTTGGTGGCTTTTTGAAATCTAATTGACGTAAGTTATGCAAATTTGCAATATGAATTTTGAGCATGCTTTCGTCTTTCGGTTGTTAATGCTTCTCCATTGCTTTCTCTTCTCTCCCTCCCCCTCACAGGGTGAAATGACTCCTTTTTCTTGGGCAGCCCTACACGGTAAATTCAGGTCTCTGCTTACAACAGAACCTAGGGAAGATTTGTGACAGATGGGGCTAAGTCACAAACTTGCAGCCTAAGGCAGAATCTGTAGAACTTTCCAGAGTGTGCCCATATTTACCTGATCAGAGAGAAAAGAAAATCTGCAGAGGAAGCTGAGCCTGGCTGCTTGTCATAGCTGACACAGAGCCATCTGCCACAAACCTGTGGCGGCTTCAGATCTCCCATCCCTGCCACCACCCCAACTCAAATTAAATACAGATTCCTAGAGACGTTAGGATGGTTACACATGTCCTCGGCATCACATGGAGGAGACTGTTCAAAAAAAATATGTGGCCTGTTGTATAACCGCACTCATGTATCCCATATGTGGTGCCACATTGAATTTCCGGTTGAATCCGTTTTTATCCTTTGTACTGGATGACATGGTGCCTGAATTCTTTCTTTTTGCCGACACGATGGCAGCCAAACTGCAGCTTCAAAAGCTCGCGCTTGGCTGGGTTTCCACCTAGGTTGCCAGGTTATCATTGGAACCTTCTTGTGTCCTCAAAGGGCCACGGGGTCTGAACAGACGATCAGAATGCTACCAGACTAATTGGGCAGCCATCTCAGAATTGTTCGTGGGCAAAGGGCTGCTTTAGCACTTTTATTTTAGCAAATTAACGACTCTCTGGCACAGGGATTTTTAAGTGAAGGTATTAATAAGGGGTCTGGCAGGTAGTCCCATGATTCACAGAAAAGTTACATTTGCATTTAATTTGTTTTAAAGTTGTGAGATAAACAGCTGTAATTTGGACAAACATGGGAAACACACTAAGTGGGGCCATCTTGCCCATAGAAGGAACACTGAGATACTTGTTTTAATTTTTTTCCTGGGGTAAAAACAGAGAAATCAAAATACTTCCACTAAAGCAGTAATTTTGATAGAAATATCCCTCAAAAATACTTGCATCCAGCTACAAATATAATCTTTTCAAGATAAATCGCTTATGATTCCAATAGTCAAGCTGCTGTATTTGTTGATATAAAGATGTTTTGAACAGCTAGATTGTAAAATAAATTTTTAATAAAGTGCCTACTGCAATTTTTAATTAGCATATCTCATTTACGTGTAAGAGTGTACATCTATCTGTATGTTTCTCGCTGAACACTTCCCTTGTGTCAGAGACAACGAATACAATTGTTTCTTTTCCGGATGTACAGGGATCTGTTTTGCAAATGTTTGTAAGATATTATGACATTTCCAAGACTGTCTTTGCATTCTGGAAAGCAGGAGGTAAACATTTGTAGTCATTAAGGTAAAGTCTGTTGATAAACCATCTTCTGTTTACTGACAGGTAAACTGTAACTTTCCTAGCTTTTGAAAGGAATGACTTTTATACACTGCAGAGTGAGGGACAGCCAGGGAGCGGAGGGTAGACAAGGGCTAAGCATGGCCTTCTGGCTTCTAGAAGGACTGAGTGGTCTAGCAGGCATCCGAGATAGAGCAGGTGATGATTCAGAAGTCCAGGAGGGCCCATTTGACAGGTAGCAAAATGGTCAGCAGGAACTAGATCAAGGTCCGGGAGCCAGATAGATCCCTCAGGACAGAGGCAGTCTTGCAGATCAAAGAAGGCAGGAATTCAGAATGCATCAGGCCTGGGAATTGAAAAGCAGGATGAGTAAGAAGCAGAAACAACAAGCCCTATCTTTGCAGATAGTCCTCTCCCTAATATGTGTGAGATCCTTAACGCATGATGGGACATCACAGCCCTAGCTTCGAGTCCTATCAATCAGTGGGGAAGCCACTGAACAGATTACCTCCTCACCCACGAAACAAAGGGCTCGGGGATTATTTCAGAAGTCCCTTCCGGTCTGACACTGGGGAACGCAGAATCTCTCAGGTGTGCACCTTTTGAGTGTAAAAGTTAAGGTATAAATATGCCCAAGAGGTTCTTAGACACGTTGGGCAGGGTTTATCATCTAATGAGATGAACTAGACCAGTAAATTTGCTTCAGTCAGAAGGATGCCGTGTCACAGTGATGTCTTCTCACAGCCGAGAAACAATATTTAGTTTACTGTGTTTTATTGTCATGAAAATAATGGGCTCCCATTTTATAGTAGACATAGTTGAAAGTTATCTGTGTATGGAGGGTTTTTTTTTCCCTATACCCATAAATGCAAATCAGCTTTTGTCTTTAGCTGTACCCAGTATTCCTTCTCGAATAAAAATTTACATTAAAGTTGTCATTTCTTAAAACTATGCTGTCAGACCTGGTATCAGTGCATATAAACAATAAAAAGTTTTGTAAATGTGTAATTCTTAACATTTAAAAACTTGAAGTGTGTGTGCATCTGTGTGTCTGGGTGTGTTGTGTGCTTCCCAAATCCGTTATATGGTGGGATGGAGTGTTACTAAGTTAATCCCTATTTCATTGAAGTCACAGGATAATTGCGAATACAAGTTGACTTTTTAATTCTTATTTCCCTTACTTTGAATGAAGAGATCGAACACTCGCATTATTTCTTATTTTGAGTATGGTTGTTGAAAATTCTATCCTTTTTGAAACATTCAGTTCTGTTCATTCTGTTCTTTTAAAATAAATCACTAAGCCAATTTCAAGTTTAAATGTCTTTAAAAGTCTGCTCATTACCAAGACCTTGGTACGGTGTCCAGGATGCCTGCCATGAACTTGCCTAATCTGTGTTTCCGGGTAGGTGTTTCTGTACTAAATACCAGGGCACCTAGCTCTTAACCTATTCATTTATACCATGTTGATCAGGAATAGGTCAAAAGACCTCTCTCAAAAAAGTTTGTGGTTTAATGAGCATCCTTCAGATATGGCTAGGTTGAAGTGCCCTGCTCTGGATCTCAAATCTTCAGACAAGCCACATAAAGATGGCAGCAGAATCAGTAAGTGGATGGAAACTCGCAGCCATAGAAGGCTGCAGAGATTCATTTCAACACCTTGAAATGCATCTGGAAGCAAAGATTTCATTTTATGTTGAAGGTGTTAATTATATTTGATATTTTTAAAAGTAAAATCTGTTTTTGAGAAAGCATCTGCTACCCAGAAATATTATGAGCCACAATAAAATTTTCAGTTAAGTCTCAAGATACTTTTTGTGGGTGATAGAATCAGTTTTCAAATGATAGTCCATGCTGTTGACATATTCCCTGAGTTTTATTCTTCTATTGACTATTGACAAGTATCACCCTAAGTGCCTTTCGGTTTCAGTGGAAAATTGGGTGGCCTTTAATATCAGATTTTATATTTAACAATGAAGAGAGTATATTATAAAGCACTGACATGTTTCATTTTAAAATTTGAACTGAGATTACAGGCCAACTAATGCTTCTATAATACACTGTCCCTTCAGAGCTGTTCATTAAAATGTAACTGGGGAAGTTTAAAAACATCCAAACAATTCTACATGCAGCTCAAAGCTATGTATATTGGTGATTAAAATATAACAACAACAACCTCTTAAGTCAGAGGAGTGATGGTACAAAGCACAGGCATGTAACGGAGAGAGGCATATTCACTCGGTGGCTAGTGGCTTACTTCTGAAGTTGGGTCAGTATCCAAAGGCTCTTCATACTCTTTATGACTTCTTACATGTCTTGAATGTTATTATTGGATATGACTTCTGATAGGAGCTATGAATACTTTGGTTAGTTTCGCTACCATGCCTTCCTTAACCTTTTTTGACTCTAACCTATTGATCCAGTCAGAGAACCATTTCCCTTCAGACACTGGAAGAAACGACCCTAACTGCCACTTTTGCATGAGAAGACTTTCCTCCCCTTACCAGGAGTCAAGGACTTAACCTTGATCCTGAAACAAATCATACTTTGAAAGTCTGACATGATGGTCAGTGGGTCCCTTTTTCCTAGGGCTGCTGACCACCATTCCTCACTAATTCCTGTAACTTTACAAACTCAACATGGAAAACCATAGTTCTGTGAACTCTCTTTTGAAAGATAATGAGAAGACAAAGGAAGATGTTACATGAGCCAGCCTTCATATCTTGGAAAATTCAGAGCTGTGTGGGAGAGCACAGAGTTACCTGAGCTCCTAACCACACTAGCCATCTCCCATACTGGTGCCTATTCCTTTTCCTCTTCAAGAAAGGGTCAGTTGTGGACTCTATCCTTCATTGCAATCCATGAGAAGGAGCTCTCCCTCCCCTGTCTTTAGAATTCCCTAGCTGCATCTGAGGTACATATGACTTCAGAGACCAGGATCCTTGCTCATCCTACAGCGGAATTTGAGGACAGTGTCTTCAGGGAGGATTATCATTACCTAAGTGATTCCGACTTCTCTGTTGCAGCTCTATGGTTATGAATTTTAACCCTAAGATGGGTTCATAATTATTCTCATAAATTAACATAAGAAATTGATGATTCGTGGGAGATGATTTAAGATGCTTATGTTACTCCTATCAATTACTGCATTTAAATAGCAGACCTAAGGTGGTGTGCTGGAAGTGATTTCTGGGAATACTTGTGTGATACCTTTCTCCAGAAATGTGAAGTCCTTTATATTTGAAAATTTAATATTTTCATTATCATTTCACAAATGAAAAAATCAAGGGATCATATAATGGTATATTTAGGAGCCGGACCATGTTGTAGAAACAGAGAATTTTTGTATAGGCCTTCCCCCGTGTGGGATGGTATCATTGTCACCCATGTGTCTTTGAGGAAGCACCAGGGTCAGTGTGCAAGACTATTGGACCCCTAGGCAAGAGAGTGCAAAGGTTAGCAGGGGGCTGCTTTGTGGCCCACATGGTTGGTCTTAAAAGAGGCATGAGAGACCATGTAGTGAGGCCAATGTTTTTGGTGTCTTTATTAATAATTACTATTATTGTGCCTGTGGGGAGGCATTCAGCCTCCACATCCATCAGAGGCCTGCCACTCCCTGTGGTCTTTACACTCAGATGCTTTTATACATTTAAGGTAGCTTTCCTGGCCCTCCTGGTAAGCATTTGTTTTTGGGACCTGTGGGAAAACTGAGGCCCTAACGGGAAGCCGAGTTTCTGTGGGTCCTGTGGTGGTAGAGTCAGGTCTAGAACAACCTCATGCAGAAGGCCATGGTCAATCCAATTGGTCAAGACCACCATCCCTTAAAGGAGAGGAAGGGGCAAATCTCTCTCTCCATCTTCTTCCCCTTTCCTCCTCCTGCTTCTCTTACTAGCAGAACGAACACGGACTAATAAATTGCCAGTACCTTTCTAGAGATTTGTTTCATGTTAACTCCTGGTCACATCTGGATTCTAAGTGGCCACAAGGGGAGGAATGTACAAGAATTCCTTCTTGGTGCTAAAATTTCAAACTCTGGCACACGCGCTACTTCTGGACAGCTGAGCCTTCTCTGTTGCCTTTGACATCATACAATGAGGAAGTTACTTATCCACATAGATAGAAGGCTGGCCCTTCATCCAGAGGCAGCCCCCACAATCTCACCTGGTGCCAAGGGTCTGGGACAGAGGGAGCAGGTGATATGGGCGGCAGAAGCACCTTTAACTGTGCACCAAAGGGAGTGCTTCCTCTCATCCCAAATAGATAACCCAGAAATTATATCCTAAAACCTATTTCCCCAGGAAGAATAGGAAGGGGAGGGATAACTTAAAAAGAAAATACTTCTAAATGGTATTAGACTGTAATTCATAGGGAAATTTATGCCTGAGATATGAATTTCTGAAAATGGGGTTTTTTTTTAAAAGGGAAACACTGACACATCCTTAATTATAGAGTAATAAATACCAGTGGTATATTATCTTCCGATATTTCCTTACACAGATATCAAAGCATGCAGCTGTTTTTGAAAACTGATAATCAAGTACAATATAAGTATATTACATCTTGTACTTACAACACACCCTTCAACTAAGCAACCTCCTGGAGCACTTAACAGTGAGAACCAGAGCTGCTTATAGTAGAAGCCTAACTGAACAAATTAGCCTTGAATTGTAACTTAAGAATCATAGTCAAACTGAAATGCCTGTCCTTGCCAGGAAAGGCATTCCAAAGGCAAAGAGCATGCCAAGTAAAAAGCCTTTGCTTCAGGATTATGGAGGCAGTTCTCAAAAGCCAGCATAACTTAATGATCAATCAGAAAAAATATAGAGCAGTAACTACACAACTGAAGGATACATAAAAATTGTACAAAGCATTAATAGTGAATGGGGAGGTAGAATGGGATTTTAACAGAACGTATTACGCTCTTAGAAAGCTCTATTTATTGCTTTCAATCCGGGCAGCAAAAGAAAGACAAACATGGTCAAAGAAAAGTACGTGGACAAATGTGGGGGGTAGGAAAGGAAATGAAGGTTAAACAAGGCCAATATGATTCAGAATGAAAGGGAGGGAGGAAAGTATAAGGAGCCAGCTGCAATTACTAAATGTTACATTAAGAAGAGCTGAAATTGAGAGGGGGAGGTCTGGGTATTTTACTAAGTGGATTAATGTCCTCTTCTTTGGGTGTCTGAAGTTGCAGATTTTAATTTATTTGGTGCAGGGTTTTATTGTGAAATTCCTAATGGGGTGGAGGGATAAATAAGGACAATTATAAACAGTCAGAAAGTAGAAAGGGGGAACATAAAATACTTCTTCATAAATTAAGATATATACAGGGTTTGAAGCTATAGACAAAGGTAAATAGTCAACAAAATAGTTCATTATGATAGAACTCAAAGGAAGATGAGAGGTACATACAAAACAAAAAACAAAAAGACAAAAACATCCACAGAGATGCGTCAAGCCAAGGATTTTGAGCGACTTAGGGGCTAGTTTATTGCTGCTCTCCTTTCTCCACCCATTTAAAAAAATAAATCATAACTCTGGCATTTAGAAACCTAGTCATGAACATCATTTATTAATATAAACTTAATCCTGTGCTGTTCTTTGGTGGGTGGTAAAAAGATGAACTAACAACAACTGGCCTAAAACAGGATGATCCTCTCCAATCCTGGGAAACTCTAAGGAAAAAAAAAACTCCCTAATATGCTCTTTCACCTTATTTATCTTACTGAAGTATAAAGTCAAAAAGTGGGGAGGGCAGAGCCGAATCAGAGGACTAGAAGCTTGCAGGAGACTTCTAAAATTTTCCTAAATAGGCATCAGAAGAGGAGAGATGGGCTTGGAACCTAGTATGATTTATATCAATTTATTAATCTGCTAATCTACTACCACTTCTGGGGAAGGTGGGAAATAAGGAAGGCTCTCTGCCTTCTACAATGGAAGAGACCAAGGCAGAAACAATTGTGTTCATATTCCCCGAGTGTAACACTGCTGTCATG